ATTATCGTTGGAATGTTCCGAGTAGAACAGAAATTTGGATTTTAATCAACCGGATTTTCCCTTTTCAATTGTAAGCTATTTATGCTAATTGAACTTTTTTTTAATCATTAAGTAATCTTACATTGCAAGAAACGCCCTGTGCCATGGGAGAAAAGCAACACCACATGGTGCTCCCGTTACTCCGTTAAAAAAAGCTTGGCCTCTGTGTACCCGTTGAGAAGCGCAAGTCCCTTATTGTTAACATCCTGGTTTTTTAAATCAAAGTACTTAAAGCAAACTGATGAAGACCGAAAATTTTTAAAATAACTATAAATTTCTTAATTAAAAAGGAACCATTTTCCCCTTTAAGCCCGGAAAAAATATGGTATTTCAAATTTGGGTTCTCGATCAGCTCAACTAAGGATGTTTGTGCAACGTTGGGAACCAAACCAAAACTATGTTATTTATACATATTTTAAAAAGGATAACTGTCCCCCATTGGCGTAAAAATCTTGCAAATTTTTTTGGTTTTTTTCCATTTGAAAAGAACGTGCAATCAACGAAAAAAGACGTGATATTTCCTAGTTAAGAATAAAAAATGAATTCAAACTGGTTAAAACATTTTATACCCACAAATCTTTAATATTGTAAAGCAAATCCGACCTGTACATTATTTGAAGCCTGAAATCTGGTGGTCAAATATCAAATTCAATAACTTCAAGCAAAATAAAAGTAGCTTCTGTCCCATTTGTTTTTACTTTCTTAGAAAAATGCGGAAAAAATTGGAATAAAGAAGCACATGTTAACAATGTTTTATTAAAAAAACTTTACATCAATACCAAAATTTTTTGGTTTTTTTTAAGGCAAATTATGGGGAAATTCCCCTCCTCTCTTGCCCCCCCCCCCAAAAGCTAAGAGTCCGGGGTAAAATTCCCGCCTTTGTTTTCTGAAATCCAGAAGGAAGGCCCTGTGTCCCATGTCAAAAAAAGCGGTGGCCCCAATCGGTCCCCCTACGGATAAATCTTAGCACTTCTTTTTTTTCTCTTTGTGGCAACGTCAGCGACCTTGGTAATATTTCCTTAAGTCAGCATCTCAAACGGGTTGGGTCCCTCCAGAAAATCCGTTAAAATTGGTTTTAAACCCTCCAAAAGAAAAAAGGTGGATACCCCCTGGGGAAGGGCAACCAAATATAGGCCATTTTCCCTTTTGGCAATTAATAATTGACGGTCAAAAGGCTGTCCATCATTTTGTTCAAAGGCAGAAGTGGAACCAATCAAACCACGAATTGGTTTTAATTTTCTTGCTCAGTATCTGCCTCCTACTCCCTCTTCCCCAGAACTGTAAGTGCTCCATCACTTAGGAATGACTTTTTCGACTTTTGGTTCGGGTTAAAAGAATTCAACTAGTACAAAGATAACCATCAAATCCTTTTGTCATATTCTACCAATTCGCATTTTCCTACACGTTAATTTATCGAAATGAAAATTGGGCTTTATGATACCACTAATAAAAATATAACATATTATCAAAGTTACTCCTCATTCCAAGAAAAAATCCACACAAAAACAGGATAAAGCCTTTTTTTTAAAAAAAAAACGCAATTGTTTTTTTAACCAACCATGTTAACCTGTTAAAGAATGAAAATCGGGTTTTCCAGCCAATACGTGGCTGATTTATATTAACCCATTGGAAAATTATTTCGTGAAATCCAATGCACCATACGTGGTGGTATTCCTGAAATTTCGTCCGCCGATATTGTCATAAGCTTAACAAGTTTTTTGCTGGATAGTTTTTTTTGCACTGTTGTAGTCTGTTTGGAATACAGCACTTCAACACTGGGTTCCTTTGTGGAACGCATTCCGTTCAATCTGTAAGTTTATGCTAATGCTTAATGTTTTTTAAAACCCAATTTTCAAAATTATAGAGATAGCTTTAAGTAATTCGTGAAGGACCTCTAGGTTTTAATCCAATTTTGCGCGCGTGGAAGTTAAAGCAATATTAAATTCAATAATAAATAAAATAAGAATAGCAAGTCAGTAAAGTGCAGAGAAATTGGCTTTTTAAAGGGTAAAAATATTCATCAATACATTGTAAGAATGGAAGTTTTTCTGAAACAATTGTTCCAATAGACCTTGTAAACATTTTCCTAGAAACTTTTCGCGATTTTTTTTAATGAGGAATTGTCGCAAAAGTAAGGCCCAACTCAATAACCTTTGGTTCCTAAAAATTCTACGGCGTCAACAACGAATTATTTACATACAAAAAGTTTTTAATTAACTTTCAATGTAAGATCTAATAACATTTGAAACCAATAGTTTTCCATTATCAAAAATAGAAAACGTCCCTTAGAATGATTTTTTAAATAACTGCAAAGTTTAAATAAAAAAGATTACAACTACATTTGGAAGAGAACGGTTTGTTCCAAGAGACTTGTTTTCATCAACCTGCATGTTTTTTTTGTTCAATTTTTTTTAGTCGCGCCCCACCCCAAACCACATCATTATCATACATATTTTTAGATGGTTAAACCAACCCAAGAGTAAAAAATAACTTCATTTGTATGAACGCGCCCATCGCGGCTTTCTTTGTGAATAGAAGCATTTTAGGCAATGTTTTTGTTAAAAGTAATCTTAACTGTAAACCTTTCTTTGCCAACCGGACCAATGGTTTTTCATTTCCCAATCCATAAAGGTTTGGGAAAACTATGCTTATATTTTATGAAAATGATATTTTTAGTATTCAAAAGCTTGCAACCGTTCCCCTTCCAGAATGAGGCCAAAGAAAAAAAAACAACAATATTTTTTGATAATCAAACTGAACAAGAAATGTACAAGATTTTAGGAAAAGTATAAAGAATTTCAAATTCCTAGTAATAAATTTACCCATTGTTAGTGCAATTAAATTGACCGATTTTTTCAAAAGTACTTACAACTTATTCCCTAAACTTGCTTAGTAACGCAGTAAGGGGCTTTTTTGCTTTTATTTTGACGCTCCTTTTAATGGTTTATTTACCATGGATTGGTAAGTGCCCCATTGATAATGTGTAAACTGTATTCCCTTTGAATAACTTCCACAATATAACTGGTAAATACATTTTTCCAAAATTGGCAAAGGAATGTGGAAGGCGTTGTTTTGCGCTTTATAAGTTACATTTAACTTGCAAAATGGTTTTTTACTTTCCGCACTAATTAATAGGATCCCACCTATTCCAATGAACAGATGTCAAGATGCGGGAAAAGGTTTCCCTCGGAATTCCCGTTGATAAGAGAACAAATTTCAACCATGTCTTAGTAATTTACTTTGCTAAGTTTCTGGCCCCTACCAGGCTTCCCAAAATCCTCAAACGTACACACCACAAGTGGCTTATTTCATTTGAAATGGCAAAAGTCCTAGAGGACTTAACCCTAGTGTTTCCCGGCAAGAATACGGGGGGAAAAGTTGGGGTGCATGTTTTCCCGAAAGCCCAAAATATTCCGGTCAAAAGTTGTCCCGAATTTTGGAAATTTATTTATCCACACCACCCGTGGGCCGATTTTGCGACTCCGTAAAATTATGGTAAATTGCCACGACCCGTGCATATATTTTTTGGGAACGTAACGTCATTTGCGTTTAAACAAAACAATAGTGGTAAAGACGCCGCTAAATGTAGCGTCCTACTATAGACGCCGTCAAGATGACCTCTTATTTCAACTTTAACGGTCTTTTTTTTTTGGGTTAAGTTGATCAATAGAATTAATAAATAAAATAGATAATATAATTTGTGTAAGTTTCCATTACCTGGGATTTATTGCACTCGTTTTTGATTAAATAATATTAGTGGGCTCGCCAGAGGGCTTCGCAATAATAAATTTTTAATTCACTTGCAATAAAATTCCCCCAGCTAATTGGAACTACACTTCCATTCAATATCCTCTAATACAAAAGTTATAGTTTTGTTTTCTGCCTTTTATCTGATGTGGTAAAAATTAATTATTATAGGTTGAAAACACACATGTTTTTGCCAGCGTTATTTCCTGCTTTCCTATTATAACGCTCGTGATCAATTCTTTTTGTATAATAAATATATTGGGGTGATAGTGAACTAAATTTATGTTTCAAAAGTTGTAAGTTTTTTATCCCGCGTAGCCAAAAGAATCACAATGGGGTTGGTTTTGCTCCCTTTAAACAAATCAGCCTTAAATAGGAAATTTAGCATTTGTAATTGGTTAATCCATTCATTTTACAATGGTTTTTTAAACCGTGTTTTTCATTTATGCCAAAGCAAACTTAGTGTTTCCTTTTGATAGAAATTAAAGAATACCACTGGTTATTTTTGAAATAATTTCCTGGTAATTTTCTGTTGTCCCATACAAATATTGAAACTTTTTGTAAACATTTGCCCAATGCAAAGTGCAGAGGTAGTTTACCAAGGTCAAAAGAGCAGTTTTTTTTTCGTAATGGTTTTGGGTTCCGGTGGACAATCTGTGGTTAATAGCAAATGGGTATTTAAAGGTCAGCTAGTAACCTTGGTGTAGAAGTCGTATAATTATCCTCTTATAGAGTATATATGACCAACAACACACTTAAACATATTATCTGGAGCAATTACTTTTTGATGACAACAACATACTGAATGTTATGAAGGTCGCGTTTACGAATTAATGTATAGGTCGCTTTCATCACTGTTAACTACAAGTTTCATTTGTAGAATAATCAGGGCACAATGGCATGCCAATCGACATATCAACATCGCTTTCATAAAACAGATCTTAAGAAAGAAATGAAAGTAATTTATTTATCAATCTTATTAGGTATAGAACAGAAACAAAATGTCTGTACATCATCCTTAAAAACTCACTGATTAATTAATCATAATTAGCCTATTGAGCAGCATTGCAGGGTTAGACGGAAATAGATAAGATATTGATTGGCCAACCTTTATAAAACTATAATTTCTAATTATATAGCAGTGTTAAACCTTAAACCTAGTTTATTTAATGGTGATGACAACGACATTATCGCATTCGTTCAAAAAGATACAACGTCATCAATTTATGCGTAAATACACAAGCGGAAACGAAACGGCGGCCAATTTTGAGTTTATCACAAAAAATAACAAATAAAGATAGACGTTAAAGAATGGAACTTACTGTTTTGAAAAACAACATCGTAAAGCTGAAGTCAGAGGAGGTTTACAAATCTTTAGAAAAATGGTCCTTCTTGAACAAAAAAGAAATAAAAGAATTGCAAGATGATATCCGCTCAAAGTCAAAAATGTCTAAACGGACACTTGCAGTTGAAATTGCGGCAGTTTGCAATGTAAGTTATATCATATAATAACAAAAGAAATAGTATTTATGTTTTGCATGTATTTCAGAAGATATTAACTGTGTTTCTTTTATACGAATTGAATTTATAATCATATCCCAGTCATAGTCTCTCCCAGTCATAGAATTGATTGTTTGTGAGTAACATGTAGATGTAGATATATAATTGATTCGTCACAAAAACTTTCGACCCGTTACTATTGCATCAAACCGATTTATCTAATAATTTATCAGGCTAATACACACATAAACAGTTTGTCTATGAAAATTGTAGTTAACTATAAACAAACAGTTATCGGGTCGGTCTATTTACCCCAAGACACCCCAAGACTATCCCAAGACACCCCAAGACTACCCCAAGACACCCCAAGACTATCCCAAGACACTCTAAGACACCCCAAGACTACCCCCAAGACTATCCCAAGACACCCCAAGACTATCCTAAGACACCCCAAGACTATCCCAAGACACCCCCAAGGCACCCCAAGACTATCCCAAGACACCAAAAAACTACCCCAAGACACCTAAAGACTACCGCAAGACACCCCAAGAATCTTCTTAATGGAAATTAACTTATAAATTGGAAAAGTTTTATAAATATACGACCCTGTAGGACTAGGAGATAATCTCAGGGGAGTAACTAGGTACAACCAATATCATTATTGGAATTAACTCCATGGAGTTGTGAAACAGGTTGGAATTAAAAAAATAAGATGTAATTCTTGTGTTTCTTCAATCATATTTTAATAATATGTTTGTTTGTAGTCTTGGGGTAGTCTTGGGGTGTCTTAGGGTAGTCTTGTGGTGTCTTGGGGAAAGTTTGCATGTTTCGTGAAACGCATTTTAAAATTGGGGTGTCTTGGGGTAGTCTTGGGGTGTCTTGGGGTATTCTTGGCGTGTCGACAGTTATCTGTCCTTAATTGTAAGTGAAATTGTTCTTGCAATTGCTAAAATAAATACCATTTTTTAACTGTTTTTAAAGTGCTAGTCTATTGATGAATTTGATCTTAGCTTCGTATTCAAGGTTCTACAGGAGCAGGATTATTATCCAAGGTTCTACAGGACGCAGGATTATTATCCAAGGTTCTACAGGACGCAGGATTATTATCCAAGGTTCTACAGGATGCAGGATTATTATCCAAGGTTCTACAGGATGCAGGATTATTATCCAAGGTTCTACAGGACGGAGGATTATTATCCAAGGTTCTACAGGATGCAGGATTATTATCCAAGGTTCTACAGGACCCAGAATCCTGAATCCCTATAAGCACAGATTTTGACTTGTACAGCACACAAATATCTATTCACAAAAAAATATCTCACAAAAAAATCCTTTTTTTATTATTTCTGACCCGAATAATTTTGTTCTTGAATTTACATTTTTTAATGTTATAAAGATAGATGAAGGTCATTTCATGAACATGATGAATTATACAATACCTTTTAAATGTTTGTTATAATTTTTAGGATAAAGATGGTTTGACAATGGATAAAGTGGGAGAACTTGAATTGATATGTGAGTATTAGTCAAAATAGTTTTAATTTTTACAGTTTTCTGCAGTAACTGTTGTACAATACTGCTGCATTATAAATGTAATTGAAGTTATAGATAAAATGCAAACAGTTTACTTTGTTATGAATATGACAGTATCTTATCAGTATTATAGTTTTTGCCCAAGTACTTATCAAGTCTTTATCTTTTATGAAATAAATGTTTGTAAACATATTGCTCACCACGACCAATGATAGCTTATGACATGTTTTTAAAACAGGGCATTTTATGAATACAGTGGCGAAAATACTTAATTCCGTCAAAGATTGTAAAAATTATTTCTCTCAATAAGATAAACATTTTATTGGCAAATGTATATATTTTCTTACCATAAACGTGACCTTTTGAAAATGTATTTCATCATCTAAACCATAGGATTTGCAGGTTTAACTTATTTCATGGGACTTCTTGTGAGTTCCTGCCAGGTAGTTAGGATTCTTTCAAGCAAGTATTTGAAGTAATATCCTTCCAGCTAGCTTACAAGAGACCGCCGGTTGTACTCAGATTCCCACTTATACCTGAACCCGAAACAATTGCCAAGGAAAGTCACCAAAAATGACATTAACAGTGTCATTGTAACTTTACACTAAACCAATAAATATCTTTTACCAAACTTGATGAGCATTGAAATATTTGAATAAAAAATCATAACTGACTTAAAAGAGTAATGCTTTATTTTCATACTATGATACATACTGAAAAGTTTTGCTTTGAAGATTGTTACAAATGAAGTTAGCCAAAATAGTCTTTCATGTTTCGCGCATATTACATTATACTGTGTTGGTGAAGTTATTTTAGGTATTAATTTCTATCATTTATATTATTATCAGGTTTACAGATGCATTCTACAAAGAGACAATGGAGTGCCTATCATCTGTCAGAGAAACAAGGTATGCTGTCTTGTTTTGTATTCATACTATGATTATGTGTGACAGATAAACAGTTTACATGAACAGTTGTACATGTATGCCTTTATTTTAGTTTGCAAAAAATCCCATTTATTTTGCTATAATCATAACAAACTCTTACCTTGTATTTAGAGGATTTTTTTTAACTGAAACAGACCTTGTCACGAAAGTTGTCTTTACACATTTTGTATATAAATTATAATAAGATTTCTTAAGTTTGAATTCCACATAAAGTCAAAACTCTGAGTTTGCCAGTTTGAAGAAAAAGTTGTACTACTTTTTTACTCACCCATTGCCAGAACTTTGCAATTTGAAGAGGACAATCTAATTTATGTTCCTGTTTATATTCACAATATTTCACTTTGATTCAATTTATCTATTCGACTTCCTGTTAATATATTGACTTACACTTCCAATATGAATCCAGGCCAACAAATATTACTGTGGTGTTTGACTACAGTACAACCTCAACTAAGTTGCCCTCTGTAGAGCAATCACCTCCTTTCAACAACACTGCAGTATCAAATTTTTTAAGAAATAAGGCTTCACAATAAAGTTAGCCTCAATCTGTAGGGCAACACCTGTCAGCAGTAACCAAAATCTGTGTGTCCCAAAGGGAATTTATACTGTATACTTTTTGTACATGTATATATAACCTTTATTGTAGGCTGCGCAATTGTACCAGATTTTACGTTGAAACTCATTGAAAGATAAACAGTAGATTGTTTTAAACATCAAGTAGGGCAATTCTTGTATAACTACATATTTGGTTATGTAAGCCTTACATCACTTAAGTGCAGTAACTGGTTAACTCCTTTTAAATTTAGAAGGAGTTAACCCGTTACTGCTCTTAGGTGATGACATGTAGTTACATAAATGGTTGATGTGCTTAATCCTTAAGTAATGTAATTAATCACAATGGAAATGGAAGAATGCAGCAATATGTTTGTGCAGGTATTTATTACATGCAGCAAATCCTCCCATAATTGTGTCCCAGGTGTAAGTATCTGAAAGAGAGTTTATTATTGAAATGCTTGGCAGTTCATATGATGATTTCCAGCTATACTTGATAAATTATATAATGAATGACCTAAAATTTTGTGTGATAAAATGAACTTCATGCTGTAAATTTGAATAAGGTCCCTCTATATGTGGCAAGGTTCATAACTCTGTGCACCAATGATAATACCAAAGACTTTTCAAATATAGCTTCCAAGCTTCTCATGTGCTTCCAAGTTAATGACCTCTACCTACCAGTCCAACTTAGAGGTCAAAGGTCAATGTCACCAGGATCAAGGCCCATTCAAGGCATTGGATTCTTTCTAAAGTTGTGCTTGTTTTCTTGAAGTAAAAAATATGTTATTCTTTTTTTATGCCTAATAAATAGAGGATATTGAATGAGTGTAGATTCACTGCTGAATTTATTGAAAAAGTTGAATGAAATTACCGATACATTATGCCAACCTTCGGTGGGCATAATATTTATTTATTCATTGAGTCCAAGATATTTAGTAATGAAGCTACACGATCATAATATTCTAATAATCACAACATTTTGTATGAGTTGAATTTTAATTATCTTATATATATTTGATATTACAGGGTCAGCCAGTGTCACTGACAGTATTAAATCACCATCCAAGCTGAGACTACAGCTCATAAAACAGATAAAAAACTATTTCCATAAAGTGAGTAGTAAAAGGTTTTTATTATTGTGGTATATGTAGATACTAGTTGAATAAAAAGAAATGCCTCCTTGATCTAGCTTATTAAAAAATAAAGTTTTTAGTTTTCAAAGTACCAACCTGCAACTGTTATGGAGACGTGACCGAGTGGTTAATGCATCGGACTAGTAATCAAAGGATTGCTGTCTGGGTAGGTTCAAACCCTGTCAGGGGCAAACTGTTGTTGCCTTTAGCAAGAAACTTTACCTTCATTGCTTAGTACTGGTTGGTTCCAGGAAAGGATTCAAGTGTTTCAATAAGCTTTCCAACACAATAAAATAAAATAAATTTGTATAAAATAAACTAACTGTTACGGAGATGAATCCAAGGTCTTTTCATTTCATCCTCATATGTGCATCATTTAGCATTTCTTTGAGTATTTAGGGCACCCACCGGGCATACACCTGTAAATAAATATGCTGTTCACATAAAATAATTAAAGAATAGTATTGATAGTGCATTTAAATTGTTAAATAATCACTACAATCTACATTATTTAACATAATCATGATTCATTTTTATAGATCCTGTATGTATCCCTTTTCAACTGGGAAAAACACCTATTTTATGCCTCTATTTTACAAAAAAAATATGTCGGTGCCAGACGAGTAAATCAATTTTCAAAAATAAAATCTAAAAAAATCTTATTATATTCACAAGATAGGGTAAAAAAATCTTATTATATTCACAAGATAGGGTAAAAAAATCTTATTATATTCACAAGATAGGGTAAAATGGAGTTAAGTGTTTTAAGGGTAAAATGGAGTAAAGTGTGTTAATTAAATTTCTGTCATCCTAAGTGAATGTGGACTGCTAGAAGATGCAAAAGTTTAAAGACTTCTTCAAAATCTAATTTTACAAAATTGCAAGTTTCACGGAGTATTTCTGTTTAGAATTTTGCATTTGAATGCTGTTGTCCATGACTTATTCAACTAGGACAGCCCTCATTGTGATGACATCAATGTTTTTTTTTTAGTTCAAGCTGTGTTTATATGTTATTTACATCATGTACAATGTACATGTCTATAATATATTATATACTTTTAGTATAGAGCTTTAACATTGAAACAGATGTCTGGTGAATAGTGAAACATTGCATGTTTTACATTTGACAGTAAGGATAACCATAAAATATAATCTACTTTGTAAAATCCTAACGTTTGTATATAATTATCAGTTTGTACTGTATGTTCTGCACACAGAAATGTCATGTTATTGTAAGTCAATTTCTGGGATAATATACAAATATAATCTGACTTTATGATTACATACATAAATTTAAGATAAATTCATCCAAGAAACAGCTGCTTTTGTTAGGTAGAGACTTTGTTTATTAGAGTTTATTGTCTTACTGGAGGCATTATTGTATAGAGCCACGATTAGAGGATAATGGTCTTATAACCCTTTACCTTATATATATGCGAAACAACGCATTTTCGACCCCTGTTTTATATAGGGTATTAGAGTATAAGTGCATTGTTTTCTAGCTGTTATTGTTGTATAAAGGGCATTATTGTGAAGAGGTCATTGCTGTCTGTAGGTCATTGCTTTATATCAGGCATTCTTTTCTAGTGGTTGTTTCACAGGGCATTGATCTCAGATTGATTATCCATGATGGACTAACAATTATCTTGCGTTGAAGTTGAACCAGTCTGACTTTATTGTACGAAAGTTAACAGAATCAAACTACTGATATTTAGGGTGCAACAGAAGAGAGCCTTTAGTCAACTTATACTGTGGCTATGAGGCTGGACTGGTTTTATGTTGGTCATATAGGTCAGGGCCAAAAAACTCTTCTTTGTAGAGGCCAAATATAGGCTGCTTCCCCAACCAAAACTACCCTCTTTTTTCCCCAGTTTGGTCCTCAAAATTCCCTAGTCTTTTGAATCTCATAGAATTTGGAACAAAATTAAATGTTGGTGTTGAATTAAGGTCTTTTAAAATACTTATTAGTATTTCCCAGTTTTTTTATGCTTTTCCATTTTGATTCAATGAAGAACTTGTTAAAAGTTTGTGTTAAATTTGAGACCCCTTTTCCCAAAGTATGCCAAAATAATGCATATTTTCCCCAAGAAAAAGGCTGAGACACCTTCCCCAAAAATGGAGTTTTGGCCCTGTAGGTTCATCATGATTCCTTATCAATATTTAATTTTTCTTTCTAACCCTTATCCTGCTGAATTTCTTAAGTGCACTTGTCCAGCTTGTGTTTTTCAAATTGTTCATTACAAATTTTGCTGTAAGTGACATACCACAGTGATTTTCCTGCTTTAGCTTATATAACAGACTCTATAAAAGGCCTCTTCCCAATTGAAATTTTCTTTAAAATCATGCAGTTTTGCCTCTTCCCAATTATGTGAGAAAAATCACTGTACCAAAATGAAAATTTTATGTTGCTCAGACAACAGTATAGAGTCTGGTCAAACGATAGTGTACTAGTATTGCAGACAAATATGGCTCTTTATTTGTGGTAAAATCTAAATCATTTCAGTTCAAGTAAGAAAAGGGTTAATAAATAATCAACCACTCCAATCCATATATGGTCTACATTTATAAATGTATTGCTGTTGTTTTTTTAAGGGTTGTAGTGTATCAGTGGTATTACATGAAGGGTTGCTATGGGGACGGTTATACTTACCGCTGCCAAAAAAGAAGAGTTACCAACCAACACGATGTTTGTACTTTATCTACTATCCACACTCTCCCATCATTATTCTCAGTGGTATGAAAGTGGGATTTGCTGAATATATATCACAGGTTTGTTTGTTTAATTACAAATATAATTCTTAAATTTAAGACATATTTGTTTAATTCCAAAATTTTTATTTATTTTCTGATGTTGATTTTGTCAAATATTGCATATAAATGTACAATTTTGAGAATGAATTGTGAAACAAGCATATGTATGTCAACAGTAATTTCTGTCCTGAAATGGTGAAAATTTGAAATAATCATAATTGTAATAGAAATAAAAAGTTACATTTTTGAAACAAAATTTAGTTCAGTTTAAACAAAGAGGATAATTATAACTCTTGAAATAATGCTAGAATTATGTATATGTAGTTGTTTGACAATTTATTTTGAAAATATTACAATATGTATATTTCTGCATAATGATATTTTGAAATTTTTCCAGTATTCCTGTAAAACAACATCATGTCTTTACCATATACTTTGTTATTATTTATTAGAGTTCAATGAAACTTTATTCATTGAAGATCAAATTAAAATACAGGTAAACCTCTGTATAGCTACACCCTTTGGACAACAAATTGTAGCTCCAGAAATTTTGGACGTATTGTCATATGATTATTGAAAGGGTTGCTGTAAAGAGGCTATACCTCCACAGAGGGGCTGTTTCTATGGTAAAAAAAAAAACAGGTTCTATGGTACTGTCATCTGAAATTTAGATATTTACTTCAAATCCTCAGTTCTTTACTATTGGAAAGTTCTGAATATGTAAATCAGTTATGTTACTATGAAGCATGATGCTATGAAACCTGTACTAATGCAATAACTGTTTATATTTCAGTGTTTTGTGGTTGCTTTTGGTTACAAGGAGTTGACAGAACTTAGTTTGACAGGGCACCATTACCCTTCACTAGCAGAACTTGCAATGGACAAATTTTCTGAGGTATAACTGTAACTTTCACATATTCTTATTTTTATCTAGGCAATGGGGTCACTATAGAATTTCCAAAATAATCAGATTATGTGTATTATAGAGATTCCTTATACAGTCAAACTTGTGTTAAAGATCACCTCTGAATAAAGATAACTTTTGAATAAAGACCAATATACAATTTCTCTTCATTGATTAAATAGAACAAAATGATCTCTAAATAAAGGCCACTTGTCTTTACAGGCCACATTCTGTCTCTCCTTTGGATGACCTTTGTTTACAGGTTTGACAGCACACTTTATTATTTTATCAACCCTTTCATTGCCCACAAAGTGGTAACACCGGTTCTCTGTCACAGTACCATCTATTTGCTAACCCCAAAGGTATATGTACCTGTTGCTGAAATATAAAAAAAATTATTTGGTTATAAATTGATTTATGTATGGTACTTTAATCATATTTCTTTTCAAGTTTGAATAAATGTAATTTTATCATTACTTCAATTAAAGAATAGGATTTATAATTATGTACAAAGGAAAAAAAAAAAAATTTGTCAGTCATAGTCTTTACTGTAGTTCTTGGAAGTTTCCCTAGCAGCAATAGGGTTAAAAGAAACTTTTGGTAAAAGTTTGCCTAAACATCTGAATAAAACAGGTCCCTGTTTATATTATACTATATTATTTATTATATGATAATTTGAAATCTTTGCATATTTGCATCCATCAATAATGATTTTTCTATGCTGCTAGATATATGCACAATGAACTTTGACCTGCTGCCTGAGTTTTTTTATTGAACTTGACTACACTCAAAAATATAAGATATGTTTAGTTTTAGAGCCATAAATGTCAGGTAATAAAATAACTTTTTATACCAGTAGAGATTAGAAGGTAAGAGAATGCTTGCAGAGTATCAAGTTTTACTGTAACACTGTTACAACAAAACAGTTTTTAGAGTTTTGAATTCATTTAGTTTAAAATTCTTTAAATTATTTTTGCGTTGAATAAAAACCTGACAATTTTATAAGATGTTTATTATGTTTTAGGGTGGATATACAAAGTACCAACAAACTCACAGGTTGGGAGGTCCCCTCAGTGATATTACCTACCGGAAACGGAAAGGTAACATTTTGACTTGCAGTGATTTTCCAGCTTATATAACAGACTATGATAAAAGGCCTCTTCCCAGTTGAAATTTTTCATTAAAATCATGCAGTTTTCCCATGAATCAGAACTTAAACCGGCTTTTTATGCCCCCACAAAGTGTGAGCATATAGCGTTGCACTTGTCCGTCCGAGTGTCCGTCCGTCCGTCTGTCCGTCCGTACGTCCCGAAATCTTGTGAACGCAACTCCTCTTAAACCGGATGGCAGATTTTGCTTAAACTTCCAGGGATGAACAACCTTAATGTGTAGATGGTACTAAAGGAAGGAATTTTTGCTGCAACCAAATTTAACAGAATTATGGCCCTTTGTTGATTTTTTCACTATATACTATGTAGAAATTTTGTGAACGAAACTCCTCTTAAACCGGATGGCAGATTTTGCTTAAACTTCCAGGGATGAACAACCTTAATGTGTAGATGTTAGTAAAGGGAGGAATTTTTGCTGCGACCAAATTTAATAGAATTATGGCCCTTTGTTGATTTTTTCACTATATACTATGTAGAAATTTTGTGAAAGCAACTCCTCTTATTCGGATGGCAGATTTTGCTTAAACTTCCAGGGATGAACAACCTTAATGTGTAGATGGTAGTAAAGGAAGGAATTTTTGCTGCGACCAAATTTAACAGAATTATGGCCCTTTGTTGATTTTTTCACTATATACTATGTAGAAATTTTGTGAACGCAACTCCTCTTAAACCGGATGGCAGATTTTGCTTATACTTCCAGGGATGAACAACCTTAATATGTAGATGGTAATAAAGGAAGGAATTTTTGCTGCGACCAAATTTAGCAGAATTATGGCCCTTTGTTGATTTTTAGTTTTCAACTTGTGGCACATGTAGTCCAAAAAATATTTGACCTATAGTCATAAGATTGACAGAACAGTGGCGTGTGGGTGCATCTGTGTCCTATGGACACATTTCTAGTTTACTTCCCAAATTAGCAATTTTAGCAATAATTATTCCCAAATTCAAGAGGATAAGGCCTATTTCAAATTAAGTGAGAAAAATCACTGCCTTGTATGCTCAATTTACTTTCCTATGAATGAATGTTTCTAGATAAAACTTCATGTATATATACATATACATATATATACAGTGTAGCAGTTTGTGGTCATTATGTTAGTATGACTATCACAGGAGTTGAGATTACTGAACATTGGAGGTTCTACTCAGGTGCTATTTCATGCACAGAGGGGCACCTGAGGTTTCTTCCAAAAGTTATGCTAAATTATCTCCAGATGACCTTTACAGTGTTGATGCCACGTAAAACCAAACAAAACAAACATAAATGATGAAGTTGTATGTAGTTTCAATGACAAAATGTTAACAGTAGTGTATAAAGAAAACAATTCATGTTGTTATTATAAATACATTTTTAAAGTAATTCACATTAGGTTTCTTTGTAAGATATTCTCTGATATCGTATAAATAACCAAGGTGATATTGTCGTTATATTTTTTTTTTTAGCACCTGCCATGTTTGAACATGAGAATATCATAGATACAAACAGGGGAGAAAAACGACGAAGACTAGAGATCCTAGATGAAAATTTCAGTGAAAATGTGCAGCCTACATTAGAAAAACTGGAATACAGGGTAAACATGACCTAAATCTATTAAAGCAGCATGACTCCAGTTTTATAAAAATTGAAAATAATTGTTACTTATGTGTCATTCTTTTGTGCTATTCTTAGCCTGCTTTGAGTTAAATGTGTTGCAATGCTTTTCAAATTTCAATTTTTGGTCACAATTAGAATGATTTTTCTAGAAAACAGAGCAAGGGAATTATCTAAAATTTAGCACACAAGTTATTGGACTAGACCTACATCAGATAGAACATTATTCTCTTATAATCATTTCCAATCTCACAATGTCAAAAATGAGTCCTTTTAACTGTCTCAAAAGGTATTCTGCTGGATTTATTGAATTAACTTGTCAAGCTTCAAATTTGGAAAGATCTGTTCATTAGATAATAGTGTATATTGAAATTGGACAGTCAGTGAAATTGCTTCTGGTCGATTGTGTTGAAGATCTATATAAATAAGAAGTTTTTGAAGGAGAAGTTTTCCTCAGTCTGATCCTTGTGTGTACATGAAATGACTTTCGAGCTTGTTTACTGGTCGAGGAACATGTCAGGTGGTCCTTCACAAGTGAAGATCGAAAGTCGTCATTTTACATTAATGATTTGAAACAATCAAACATTAAAAACTCAACGCAATAAATTATGAAAAATTAACAATCAGATCTAACGCTGTTTTCCATTCATTTAGTTTACATTAAGTTATTTAAGTTTGATTGTGTTGGAAGCTATAAGCTTATTGAAACACTCAAGACATTAAGGAATTTCATTCATTTAGGAATTTCTTTAAGTATGTATAATCCATGCTTTCTTTTATAAACACAGGTAGAGCTACCATACAGATGTAAAGAAGTTGCCCCAGACTTGAAGAACGATGGTAATTTGTTCCACAGTAGAGTTCGTTTTCGCGGTGCTAGTGTTTTAGAAGGGTTGAGAAACCTTGCAGCAGCATCTTATGCCACAGTGCCGTTACCAAAACATTTGACTTGTGTACCGTCAAGAGCTAGGAACACGTTTTTATTAGGAAAACAGCCAAAAACTGTTACTTCATCACAAAATGAGACTCAAAATCAGTCCCGGCAAAAATAGAGTTGGTGCTGTGTTTGTCAATATTTTGCCCAGTTGAGGAATTTGGTGCTTGTGAAATTATTTTATAGAAATTCCTAAGTCTGAAGTGAGACAAATTTGCGTTTAAAAAAAAATTTCACAACTTATGACTCCTGTGTTATGAATCCTTCTTTTCCCTAATAGCAATACAGATGAACTTATTATTGGTAAAATCTTATTTTTTAAACTTTTTTCTCAGGAGAATAAAGTTTAATAAAGTCTGAAATTTTGACAAAAGATAAACTGTTTATTGAAAGTCCTGGATCTTAGGCAATACGTAAGAATGTAAATAAAACGCAGTAAATTTGAAATAATAGTTTTCTCAGACTATAGGGACACAGAACACAAGATGCTGTTTAAATGTATTTATGTTTTCCCCACACATTGATTACGCTATATATTACATGTATATCATTTTTAACAATATTTCTTCTGTCATGAGTTTAAATATTTTAAAAATTTAAACAGCTTTCCTGCATGAAGTATATATTTTAGTGGCATCTATTTTTGTTTTAAATTTAATAATAGAATTTGAAAATGAGGAATCATTGAAGAAAATACAGATTTGACTTTTTCTTTTAAAATGCTCATATTATACATGTATAATGAAAGTTTACTTTTAAATTTGCATATTTTTTTTTAAAAAGTTCTGATTTTTTTTATCTGAAAATTTTACCATGTACCTTTAACAATATACGGCCATCCCTTTTGATATTATCATCATTAAAAAAACAGTAAAGGCTACTTTGTGTTGTTGTTTAATTGTTTTGTGATTTCATTTTGTTAAGGAGGACGGGGTGGGGTACTGAAGATGGGCATTGTATATATACAGTGAAATAGACCTATTTTGTAAAATTCAGTAAAATTGTTTTGTCTACAGGTTTGTCCCAAAAGTTGCATAGACGTTTTTAAGATAGTTTAAACAGATTGTCAAAATGTTTTCAAATCATTACATATGGCTTATCAAATAACAAACTTTTGAAACTATGCAGTAAAGAGGTAGCGGCAAATGTGAAAGCATCATTCCTATATCAAGGTGATTCCACATAACTCTCTTACACGACATGCAGGTCTAACATAATTTGTGCAAAACCTATACCGATTCCTTATCTGTCAGATATGCAACAGACTTTTACATGTCTTGTTTAGTTAATCCTAAACTCCTATATTGAAACCAACTGTATTTATAGCTCACAGTAATCAATAGTTTCATAAAGTTTATATACCAGTAGTGGGTGTATAGTGCTGAACAGTGTCCATTGTACAGTTGTAATGATTGTACATGCTCATTGATTCATGCTCACTATAGGAGTGTGCTCATTTTGATCACTGTTTACTTCTGTGTGCTTAATGCTCTGTGTGCCGATGGCTGAGTTTGAGTACTGTTGACTGTGTTTTTAGTGCTCAGTTTGTGTACTTAGTGCTTAGTTTATGTATTATGTGATTTTTGCTCACTGTTTAATAGTGCTCAGTTTGAGTACAGTTTACTACTCTGTGCTAACGCACAATCTGATTTTTCTCAATATTTTTTAGTGAAAGCCAAACTGATAAAAATCTCAATCTCAATTTCTTAGTTGAGAAAAATCTCAGATTTGAGCTGAGATTTTGACTGAGAACGTTAGTGAAAGCCATTATCACATTAATGACCAACAAAAAGGTTATGTAATTGAATTTTTTCACATATATATATATATATTTTAGTTGCTTAAGCTGTGAAGACAAAAGTGCTTAAAGATCCTGCATGTTATAATTGAGGTTGTATACCACACTAAAGTGAAATTTTAAATATGTATATAATTATGCTTATAAAACAATTTTCCAACATGAAAGAATATATATATAAGAAATATTCGAGCACTTTAAATGTAATCATTAAAATATATGCATTCATTTCTTATTGAAAAATTTGACTTAGACTTTATAGAAAATAAATTTCTAATTATCAAATTACCTCTCTTTATTTACATGAAATTGAAATGTTAAATTCGGTAATATCTTTATAAATAATGCTTTTTGGAATTTACAATATTGATAAATCTTAATTTGAACATCATATTTATGATATAAAACCATAAAAAATGTGTTACGGGATCTTTAAAGGTATTGCTAGGCAATTGCAATTTGACGTTACCGTTACGTCAAAATATATATCGTGACCATTATGGTTATTATTTTGTGTTGGAAATGCCGCATTTCATTCGTCAGTTACCAACAATAATGAATTTTTAAAATGATGAATATGGCATTTTTTACAGAAATAATCTCAATTTTAAATAAATACATATAATATATATCTAATGTTTGCTCATTACTGCTCTATAAAGTTCAATTTTCATAAAAACGTTATAGAAACGTCCGACCGTTACAAGCACAAACAGATTATTTCATTTTAAATGCATTGAGCGGATTTGTTACCGAAGAAGTTTATACTCAATGACTCATTCCATCTCAGAGACTGCATGACCTCCGATATGTGTTGTGTTCTAATTCTGTTCGTATAAATGGTATTAACTTAAGACATCATGTTTTACAAATACATAGCCTGTTGTTGTGCTGTTATTTTAAGCGGCAAAAAGTAGAATTTCCGTCTTGTTAACTTCAGCTGACTTCTAATCTTCTTAAAGCATTACCCGGAAATCCGTCTGGCGTAATAATACTCTGACAAAAAAAAATAGATCCGCGCGGAAATAATCCTGATCACGTGGTACGCACATTAGGACGTGTGTATGACCACAACAAATGTGTTTAAAACTTTTTAGGTCTACGTAAATTTTGAATATATCAAAATTTGCTTGAGCTTTCTTTATGCATGTATATATAAATATATATATATTTCTGCCACATCTATCTTACAAGGTATGTATAAGATACTCCCATGATTGCATCACACATTAAAGGCAGTTTTTGTTGAAAATAGTCATAAATGTTGATGATACGAGTATTTTGCGCTATTTTTCAATCGGGTTCTTCGAATTTGCTAAATCATGAATGTATTATTATATATCATCCGAGTATCGGACAATCTGCGATTAGTTGCATGTTAATTTCTTCGTTCAATTATTTAACTGCGAAGATTTGCGTTCTGGGTTGCTTATATAATAATTGTTGTTGATTAGGCACGAAGAGCCCAATAATTAAAATATCGGCCTTAACTTTTGAAGTTAAGCAAACTTGACGACTTAAATTCATTTCTATTTTCTTTCATCATGCATTATCATTGGATAATTTCTGTCATTGCTGTTTTATGTACCGTACAAACGGCGCAATGCACAACCTCTTACAAGAGATTGAAGGAGGCTTTAAAGACTGTAGACAAAATAATTCGTCAGGTAAAAAACTAATTGATCGTAGAATAAAGGTTATCATTGATTATTTTAACTAGCATTTAAATGTTGTTTCTTCTTTTCTGCTTACAGAACTGTGTTTGAATTACGACCTTTTAAAATTGCGACTTAAAGATTACGTTGTAACAATGAATACGTTGGTAAATTGAACGGTGTTATACTTTGCTTTTGTGAGTTGCGCTTTGAAATTTGACGGTGCATTGCATTGGTTAATTGAACGCTGCGTTGCGTTGGTCAGATTAATGAAGTTTGCTTAACGATTGATTGCATTGCGTTGATACACGTTGCGATGCGTTACGTTAATACATTAAACAATTGCTTTGGACAACTTAACGCCTGCGTTGCGTTCGTCGACTTAGCGTTTCTTTTAGTATCATTACTAAACGTGAAATACTATAAAAGCTTTTACCCTCTTTTAAAAGAACCACCATATACTTTCATAAAATGATAAGTCAATGATTTGTTTTTTAAAACAGTTGTCAGCATTGAAGGAAACGTCAAAAACTTGTGATTCACAGCTATCCACAGTTAAAGATGATCTTACAGCTGCTTGTAATAGGAATACAACTGACACGGAAAGTAAGATCATTTTACGACATACTAGCTTTAAATACTATATAAGTCTAAATCCGTAACTTGTGTCGGGTAGCTATAGCAATGTAAGTGTGGTACATTAACAACATAGCATTGTTTAAATTTCATTTTATGCAATGCATTGATTTAGATCTTGACTGAAGTTAGGTAGTGAAACAACAACACCGAAACATTTCTTATTTACACATTAGAAAGATTCAAAACAATCATACAAGTTTACTTTACAAGAAGAAAGTTTAACCTTTATACTCCTTTCTTAAATATATGTTATAGCACAAATTTTACATGATTTACAATTTTTATGGTGACTGTCTGCTATATAGAGGTTATTTCTCTACTATAGGGTACTGAACTTTAAATGAAAGCACTCTGCCAGAGGTTGTAACTGTTACTGGCAAAGAAAATATTAAATAATAAAATAGGATACTTAAAAATATGCTCATCCCTCCTGCATATTTACACAGATCATATTGTTATTACGCAGATAGTAAAATATTTCAGTTAGTCTGTTGAAATCAAAACAGACACCCGGCCAGACACCTGTACTCGTGGACGTGAGCAGCGGTCATAAAACTTGCGTGGAGAGTATCCGTGATCACTGTTCTCAGTTAAACGCCGAGATCTGGTGCCTCCGCCTCGGACTTTGGCGGAACAACCACGAAAATGAAAGGATAAGTCTTGCCCAGGATGAGTTGTTTGTTCATATATTGAAACGTGAACAAAACCGTGAGACGCCGGCACCGCCACAACGACGAAAACGAGACACCGAGGCAGTTAAGGGTATAGCACCTGACGACATTACCAAACCACCGACAGGGTACCGGATCAGGAAGGAGTATAGGACCTTAACTCTAACGGAAAGACAGAAATACCATAGCGCTGTCAAGAAACTTTATGATGTAATGACTTTTTGAACTTGAAAATATATTTAGTTAGTTTACATCTGAATATATACCGTTAGCTTGAAAGATACTGAAAAATAATTAATTAAGCACTCAATCAATCAAACATATTTGAGCCGAGTCACGACAAAACCAACATAGTGGGTTTGCGACCAGCATGGATCCAGACCAGCCTGCGCATCCGCGCAGTCTGATCAGGATCCATGCTGTTCGCTCTCAGTTTCTCTACATGTAATAAATTTGGTAAGCGAACAGCATGGATCCTGATCAGACTGCGCGGATGCGCAGGCTGGTCTGGATCCATGCTGGTCGCAAACCCACTATGTTGGTTTTGTCGTGACGCGGCTCATATATAAATACTGATAGTAATAATGCCTTTAATGCTAAGCACGAGATGCTTTCAGGTCTACTCGAATTGTATAACACTGTATAGTAATAGTAAATATTACCTTGAAGTCTTGCTAAATTATCCAAATACTGTGTTTTTTAAAACTTAAAAAATATACTTGATTTATCTCAGCAAAAAACCTTTGCTGCATTTGCCCGGGTACACAAGTTGGGTATCAAGATGAAGGGTGTACATAGAGGCGAGGCCTTTCTCCCCTGGCATCGTGTTTTCCTCGCATTGTAAGTTGTTATCGATTCCTTATAGACGTTTAAGTAAGTTGTTTAACATTGATTCAATTTGTGTTGCTATGGTTGTAAAACTGACAATAAGTAATTAACTATTCGTATAGTTCTGAATGTTTTAATTAAATATACGATATAAGTTGGTGGTCTTTTAAAGATGATCTTTTGTAAAGTTCACAATTCCGTTAACGCAGGATATAATGTTATTGTTTGCAATGTTTTCCCCCAATATAAAGCGTCCGTTTTAAGAGGTTATGTATATGCATGTATTCTAGGCTTAATGAGGGTCTATCCACCCGTTCACGATCTGAGAGTACGTATCCCGGACATGCCACCATTCATGACATTAAAGTTTATTACCTACCAAAATTGAGTTCAGTAATTCACTGAAAGATACTAAATATGTATGCAAGTCTATTTTTGAGATGTTAACTATTTTAATGCACGGAAGGCCAATGAGACCATTATATGCATCACGGAGAAAAATAGGTGTTGCTGCTAAAATAGATGACATATCTTTCGGGCGAGCTTGACTGACTGTTTGGGGGTTTGAAAAGGAATGCTACTTCCAAGTGTGTTATCAAAATAGCTATCCTGTCTTGTTTAAAGCGTAAATAACACACACGAAAGTCTCAGTTTTCAGTATCAACTACCATTCTGACATTTGCAGTTATATGTTAATCGGGCATATTGTCTTAAAAGAAACTCGTCATAGCCTTTATTGCCTTCCCCTTTACACTAGATTATAAAATACAAAACCGAAATTGGTTTACTGTCACCCCTCCTTCCATAAGCATTTATTTAAACATGTCTAGCAGGTCAGCATGTCTTTAAGGAGCAGCATTATCTTGTAAGCTTTGATCTCATTATCTTTAAGGTACGAGGAGGCACTGCGTCAAATAGACCCCGACGTGTCGTTACCGTACTGGGACAGCAGGATGGATTACAACATGGTGACACCAACTTTATCTGTAATGTGGGACGTCGAGCACTTAGGTATGTGTTATCTAGCATCAAGGAATTTACTAATGATCCTTCTGATATTCCTTAATGTCATCATCATCTTTTGATGTTTGTCAGTAATGAATATACATAATTGCAGGTGATTCAGAGATTATCTGCTACATTGTAATTGAGGTTTTATTCTCAATTTTTTCACTCAGGCCTTGGTTGTATTTTATTTATCTTACGGATATATTCAACTTAAACTAAGCTCTTATTGCACATGTCCGAAAAATTCATCTATGCAAAAGGACCACTAAATCATCACTTAGAGAATAATGCCAGTAAACAATTTGTATAAATTGAAAGATCGTTACGATTAATTCACACCGTTTGCGATGTTAGTGAAAGTATCTACCACTGCATATGTGTTTCCAGGTACCGGATTTGGCTTGGTGACTGATGGTCCATTTGCAAATTTTTCAACCGATGAAAACCCATTAAAACGAAGCATCGGTCAAGGATCAGGAAGCCTAATGAAGCCGCAAAAAGTCGAAGCAATGTTTGAAGAAGGGTTCTGTAGGATGGGGGTAAGTAATATAACGGTTTTTTATCTAAACATTTCCTTTAGCATTAAATATACTAGTCATACGAAGAGAAAAGCTGGCATTCTTTATTGTCCTATAGCAAAGATCCGTTTCGTGTATTATCTAACGGAACATATAGTCCTTTTTGAAATCATTGCTAAAGAGTAGACATCTATATTGGAGTGTCAAAAATAAGTTGATTTTGTTCCTTGATAAAAATCAAACCAAATTATGGAAGAAAAAAGTTTTTAAATGTCCAATCATGCAATTAGTACAGGCACCAAAGTCATCGCTAAACATGTATTTGATTATTTCTTTTATTAGTTCTACTCTATAATTATCTCTGTAAGTAAATCATATATATGTATTAAAGTGACACAAGCATTTTGTAAAAAATCTGACCGTTCGAATGTGAAAGCAATGTACAGTTTCTTTCACTTTTTAAGAACATCTCACCAGTTGAAGATTTATACCCTTTAATGTTATTTTATGAAGGCTTGATATAATGGTGGTTGTAATAATTCTTAATAAGAGCGTGCTTTTCGCGATTTATAGACAAGTCATTTTGACAATTACGTTTTTATAAGAGTATTTCACATAACTGCAATACTTATAGATTGCTGTTAAAGTAAGACATTTTTTTCTTTTCATTTCTAGGACATATATAAAAGATTAGAAAGTTCGCATAATGGAGTCCATAGATGGGTTGGATCAACAATGGCAAGAGGTTGGTCTGCAAGCGATCCTGTCTTCTACATGCATCATGCATATATAGACAAGATTTGGGAAGACTTTCGGAAAAGACAAAACTCTTCGGCCTGTAATTTTACAGATCCCGGAAACGATTACCCATTTTTTGATGAGAATAGTCCCAGACCAACAAAACCAGAGCACATGGCGGATGAAGATATGGACGGAATGGACTTTCTGAAGAACAAGGATGGTATTAAGAACTACTGGACACAAAACTGGTACGGTTACGCTGATAGTCCAGTGTGTAGTAATGACTGTGACAACAGCCCGGATTTGACTTGCCAGGATGGTGTGTGTGTGGGAGTAATGAGTGAGGATCCAGGGGAAGATATAGACACTTCCGGTGGAAGGCGGAAACGAGCGGCGCCAGCTGCCTACCCTAATACCCAATTATACGCTAGTTACAAATACACGTCAGCATATAGTGGTGATAACAGTAGCATTTGTCGAACACAGGTAAATATTCCGGATCAGACGTTCTGCTGAAATTAAGGTCTGTACAATTATCAGATACTGCTTAATCCAAATTTCCCTCATCCAAGTCTTTAATGAACGCTTTTTCAAAGGTTGTTTGCCAATTATACTAGAGTTCGTGTTTTGGGAGACACATGTTGTTTCTAAAGTGCCACTTAAAAAGTTGTAGTTTGTTTTTTGTCAAGAAAGTTTCCCTCTCTCAGCCACAAACTTTGGCAAACGTGGCTATCGAAAAAATCTCTTTCTATTTTCTGAATGACATGGAAAGCTGATGTAGCGATATTATAATAAGTATGTGCAGGTTTAAATAATTTAAAACCGTTATTACATACATCGAAAAGATTTGCGAAGCTGTGACAATTCCATAGTGAAACAATATACCTTGTGGGTAGGTTTTCACTTAACTTGATATAAATAAACTATTTCAATAATGAATCGATGGCAAATAAATTGCCTGTCCCTTCTTTGGATAATTTACATCCATAAAACACATGCAGAAAAAAAAAGATTATAATAAACCAATGGTAATCTGACGGACCAGTCTTGAGCGGGGTTAAACAATATATCCTCATCTTTCATCCATATCCACAAAACTTTACAGGAAACTGTTAGAATTTTGTAAAATATGGTTCAGACTAGCTAGTGTTTATCAGAATCGTCAGAAAGTAGGGAATTTGTCTCATATCCTGTTCTTCCATAGAAATATAATGAACTATTGTTCAGGCGTCTTGCACTACATCACAAGATACGATTTGTCTCAATACGATATCATATATATATATATATATATATAGGTCTTATCAGCTATTAGAAGCTCAGGTATCTAAGGACAAAGGCCATCTTATTGATTATCCCTATCACCCTGCATTTCTACCACTCAATTCTTAAAATAGGGAAGGATATGAATGGACATATGTTTTACATGTTCTACGGTACGAACAGCCAGCAAGACCTTTCAATGCAAGCGTTGACTCGCCGTGCATGTGGTCGTGTTATCCGTTTCGCAAGAGATACTTGTAATTGTATTGATTTATGTAGAGTGATAAAACTTTGACATGATCTCTTACGAATTGGCATACGATGTTGATTCCATAACCTGTAGAAGATAAGAAATAAAAACGCTGTTCACTGCCCGGCTTATTGCCCCCAATATCAGAAACAAAAATAAACGCAGTCGTTTTGCCAGTACTTGTTATACTGCTACCTGATATCATTGTCAATAAATAATTAGACTAGGCAGATTTTAATGATATAAAAGTATATTTTCACTTTGATTATCGTCACGACCGATAGGTTGGCTTAAACAATGTGTTTATTTCAAATAATTTGTTCCTCGTTGTATTGTGTGATTTGATTCCTTACATTGCTATTTTTTCTGTAAACACTGTCCATCTAGTGTAAAGAATATTCGTTGCACTGGGCGCCACGTCATTTCTATGTACCTGAAAATCGAATTATCTATCACTGTCAAATTTTTTATATTATGTCATACCTAACAATATATATTTTCGAATTTCTTTAGCCTTACTCCACGTTGTGTCCAACACCAAAAACACCTCGGACAGTAGATGAAATTGCGTCTGCCATGGTAAATAATCAACTACCAATGCCTGATAAGATAAAGAGGATATTCCAAAAGTTGAAGCGAAATGAGGAGAGAATCTTTGAGTACCCCCCTGAGAGCGAACCGATATTTTTCCGTGAAATAGGAGACTTTGAAAACGACTGTCGAACCGCGGATACAGCAACGTTTGATTTGATCAAGGCAATGCTTGAAGGGAGAACAATTGTTGGACGAAAATCGAAATAAACTTGCTTTTGAGTGTCTTTTGTTCTTGCTTAATATTTTGCTAAAATACTGGCTCTATACAATTATGATTACATCACTTTGTTAGGGTATTTCTGATTAATTCTATATTTTTGCAACAACTTCAAATAAATTTGGCCTCTTTGAATATTTCCTGTGCATGTTAATATGGTTTCCGACACCAGTGACTGTCAAGATTAAACTGTAAACAAAACAAAATTATGCTTATATTCCAACATTGCGCTAGGTTTTCATCAATTGTGAAAATGGCATATCTTAAACAAGGTCCAGGTAGAGCATATAAAAACTGCTGGCTTCGGAACTTTTTCATCGTTGTGTCTGCTATATAGCCATTTACATGTGAAGAAATACATTTTTGCTGTTTGCTATGTCTGTGCTTGTTTAAAATCATCCCCCATGTTATCGCACTTGAGTATTGGTAAATTAATTAAAATCATTATTTATGCAATGATATGCGACAGTTGTACATGCACACAATTTGAATATTTCTTTATTCAATTTACAAAAATCTTAGCTCAGGATTTTTTAGCATCTCTCCAGACAAAACAACAAATAACCGAATAACACGTTAAATATTCATAATATCGCGGGCGTTTTAAACATTAACCTGATCAAGGTCAGTATAGAAGAATTAAGACCGAGCTCGCCACAATTTGCAACTGTTACAGAAATATGTACTGATGATAAGTTAACGTCATATAGATCATATTTTGTCGTCTACACAAAATAAAAAAAACACCTGGCTCCTAATCCGATTTTCGGATAAAAAACTGTTATGTTAGACCATCTGAATATCTATGAAAATCTATAAAACACTCATGTTATATTTTCTGCATCAGTTAATATAATATAGAAAATATCATACGCTGCACGTCACTCGTTACTTAGTATCCAAACACTGTTGGCTTATGTTTAAAACAAATGAACTACTAAAATTAGTTGACTATCTTTGACATTCAATGGTCATATGACCCATGTTTGTAATCAGTTCTCTAAAGTTTTTACTTTGCTAGGGTCTAGCTAACCAGGGATGATGCATACTTTGTCAGCTTTTGCAATTTTCTCTTTATTATTTTCTTATGTCTGTGCTCAATGCGAAAATTTGCCAGCAAATAAAGCGGAGAAACTTGAAGCACAAATAAATTGTTCCATGCTTACAACTGTAGAGATTCTAGATGAGGTGAGTAGCATTTTATTCGTTTCTGATATCTTCCTCTGCAGACATTTGCTTTTTAAAAAAACTTGTATCGTTCCTTGTTTTCAAAAACTTGCAGATCATTATAGTTAATGTAGAGGAGAGCCAATGCACATTGGTAAAAGCGGCTGTTTATCCAGTCAGGTATCTTAGGTGGGTTAATTACAATTTGTCCATGTAATAGAATGTATTTTTATACTTGTTAATTACATTTAATCGTTATTGTTACCATCGTCGATTTCATTTCAATTACAAATCGATTACTTTGGCATAGAAAATTTTTTTTAACTGCTGTATAGATTATACTTGTACAAATATGATATTTGAATTTATATCAAACAACCTCGATGAGTTATTTTTCTCCACACCTATTAAAACAGACAGAGACATCGTTCTTTTCAACATCTTACATTGATGATTGAACGGTGCATAGAAATCTCGTAAAACCCACTTGAATTCTGGGTTGACAATAAATCAAAATTTTCGTGTTTAGCAAAAGTTGGTGCAAATATGTGTAAATACCTGCATAATCAGCCCCAGTTGAATGATTGTTTAGCATATATAGCTGGAACATATTTCGTTCAGAACGCTAAAGACTGAGAGATAAAACACTTGAAAAATTAATTATAAATTGTAACTCGCACATTTAAATTTAGTAGAAGACACTTGTCAGTCATTCTATTCACATTTTGAAATTTTGCGAATTGTGTGCTGCAGCTGTTTTCATGTTTTTGTGTCAATAAAAATGTCAGTGTTATCTGGAATGAACAAAATGAAACGTTGTAATTGTAATCGACTACATTTTCAGAGTAATTGTAATATAATCGGTTACAGTTTAAAAAATAGAGAAATGTATTTGTAATCGTTATCGAAATTTTATTGATGTAATCGTAATTTAATCGATTATATTTACAAGCAATCGACCACATGTCTGCTCGGATCTTTACCATGTTTCCTCAAATAACACCATTACTGGATATTTTCTGGAGGCGAACGCAAAATTGAATAATAAAACTACAAAAAAATGTTCCAATCGAGATTTTATTAGATTTTGAGGTCAAGACTCGGTTTTATGTGAGGGTTTTGATATGTGAACAATAAGTGTATGTAACATAGTAAATATCGTATCTCTATGCCAGGGTTTATACAAACCATGTTTGTGTATTGCATGTTTTTGATTGTATAACTACACGTTGCTAGCAAGTATCATTATTTGACGATCATATAGCTTGAACGAATATATATAATATGCTTGAGCTTATCATAAATACGAAGGTCAACGGGTTCTTTAGATTTGAAATGCAATTGGAAACCGAAACAGTAACACACACAAACATGCTATTTGAGATCAAAACTATCATTAACCGAACTAGTAACTCAAAAAAATGCCATTTAAATCAAAATAATCATAAACCGAAAAAGTTAGTCGTCTTAATTAACGAAATGATAAAGACTGGAATGATAACTCACGTGTTAAGATTTGACCAGAGTGCTAAGATGCATTTTATATTACAGCTAGCGGTTTTGGGAACCCAAACAAAGACGTGTAATTCTAAATTAATATCTCTATCAAAATCTTTAACAAAGGCATGTAAGACGATAGACCGTCAAGGAAAATCAGAAGGTAAATATATTTTACATTGAATTCAGTTAGAGTTTAAAACAAATACGGAAGACAAGTTTTTGATCTCTGCGCTGAGGTACAAAAACCTTTTATCTTGAAAATTTGATGTTTTGTAGTATTATTTCGACTGACCCTTTGTTTAATGCTTGTTTGCGCATGCTCAGTATTTCTAGTAAATATCTAACAACACATGTTAAGGCTTTATATAGAAGAAATGTATATTTGTGCTGAACACTAGTCGTGTTTTATTTACTTCATTGTATCAACGCACTTGAATAAGTCTCTGTTAATTATAGATAAACGAACAATACAACAATCCTTGGACAAAACTTGAAAAGATACAAATTATACTCGATATTGGCATTTTAACGGTAATTCTGGAAAAAAAATGCGACTGAGCATATGAACTTAAGTTTTTCACACAGGTCCAGACAAACTTCAAAATGTCACCATTTTAGTGTTAAAATGTTGAATTCGGCTTAAGCCGGTGCTAGGGGGCGTGAACGGTAACTTGCTATTTCTATTATCGTCCATGAACAAGCTCAATCAAACCGAGCCTGCAACATTTTACAATTTTGCTGTGTTGGGAAATTCTTTAGGGGTTCTGTTTTTCACTATTTAATTGTCACATCCGTGTTATTTGTGCCGTGTGGCGGCTGTAAAAAGTCTCCCCATACATTTAATCAATGATTCTATATTTTCGATCTTGAAGATCGTTCAGCACGACATTATTGTTGTGTATACATTTTACATGGTATTTATAGTGTCTTGTATTTGGCCTTTTTCAATTTGGATGGTTCCAGTATCCCTACTTGAATACTGTATAATCACCCTTAGGATATATTGCCTGCTTTTTAAATAGGTCTTTTGACGTCTTATCTGTGATATGCAGGCTTCATAACCTCAGATCCCCTTTCAAAATTCCATTTTATTTAGTTCGCCCATTGTTTTCTCGTTTAGGGCACACGCATCCTTTTACTTGGGGACCATACGCCGCTTTTCATGGAATGACACTACTGTGTCACATTGAAGGTTCAATGGTAACCGCCGTATGAACACATCTGTGGATGTTTCTAAATTCAAAATTTCACCATTTCAGTGTTTAAATGTTGAATTCTGCTTAAGCCGGTGCTAGGGTGTAGGGGGCGTGGACGGTAACTTGCAATTTCCTTTACCGTCCATGAACAGGCTCAATCAAACCGAGCCTGCAGCATTTTACAATTTTTCCGTGTTGGGCTTTCTTTAGGGATTTTGTTTTTCACTATTTCAAATGATACACGATCTTGAAAAATATTTTCAGTACCATCATGTCAGAAACAACATAAGTTGAGTGAAATTTCCATAATTCCATATGAAATCCATTGTAAAGTAAAACTTGTACATTGAGTTAGTGAAAAAAATGAAGTATGGACGTATGCATCAACTTCCATGCACCTGGGCAATATTTAGTTTTCAAAAAAGATGTATTTGATATTCACAAAATGCGACACATTTTGAATGTATGAACACTGAAATGAAGAACGGGACAACTTATAAAGCCGATACAGAGTAACGGACACTTGCAACGGAGGTCTCCCGACAGCAATTGAATTACAAAGAGCCATTGCCGAGCGGGATCAAGCTCGTCTTTTTCTTATTAATCGGAGGAAGGACACTGTACTATATTTAGGGCTTACAAAAGGAAAAAACTTGATCATGATAGTCAAAGTCACGTTAAGGTCAAACGTGAATCATTGAACATGTTTGTGTGGCAATCAATTTTGTTTTGTGTGAATCAGATACTTAAAAAAACAAAGTTAACACAACTAAAAAAACTTTAAAAAAATATTAATGGTCAAGGTCTTCATAAGGTCAAGATCAAACTTGAGCAATTCAATATTTCAGTTTTGACATAAGTATTGTTTTGTACATTGGCAAGTATAATTTAAAATAGATAATTAGAAATAGATAAGACAGTTATTATACGTTAGGTTTATTAGAAAAAAAAGACCTTAACGATGTCGTCTTGAGGCTAAGGTCATCAAAATTATTCAACAAGTCAATGGTGTCGTGAGTGTCCTTTTTATCGAAAAATAAAATTTTCTGTAAAACAATGAAATGGTCAATTTTCACTTGTTTGTCCTTGATAGCCATGGTCATTTAAAGGTCAAGGTC